GGGGAGGGCAGAGGGTTGGCGGAGGGGAGGAAGCTCCGGACGCCGCCTCGGAGGAGGAGGCGGAGGCGGAGGCGGGCGGCCGGGCCCAGGCCCCTCCCAGGCGGCGAGTCTCCGGCTGCAGGCGGATGGATGGGGCGTCTTCAGGCGGTGGTGGCAGGAGCGCGGGCGGCGGCGGGCGCGGCGGCAGCAGCTGTAAGTGGGGGCGGCCCCGACGCCCTCTCCCCTGCTCTTCTCGCGCGGGTGCGGGGCGCCCAGAGTCGCCCTCAGCCCCTTTTGCGGCGTCCCCTCCCCCACCGCGGAGCGCCGCCCGGAAGACCCTACACTTCCGGGGCGGAGCTTCTGCAAGACTCGCCGGCCCCCGAGGGCGCATGCGCAGCGTCCGCGCCGCCCGACGCTTCCCGGCCGCCGTCCTTCTCCTTTCGCAGTGGCGGCGGCGGTGGCGGCGTCTGCAGGGCTTCCCGGCGACCGCGGCTCGCTAGGAATCCGCTGCGGAGTGAGTTCGCCTGGCGCTGTTCGTTTCCGCCCCTTTCTCCTGGCGGCCGGCGATCCGGTCGGGGTGGAGCTAAGTGACCACTCCCCTGCGGCTCCACCCCTTTCCCCCGCGTCGGTCCCGGCCGCGAGGCTCCCGCCTGCACTGCGGGATCCTGGACCAGCCTGCCCTTTGCCTTGGGAGTGGAGGCGGGAAGGGCGAGCCTGCGCGGCCTGACGCGGGGGAACGGGTCCTCCCACCTGCCCGCGGCCCTGGGAGTGGCCTTACTCTTTCCGCTCGTCGCGGAGCGGTCCCCGGCCTGGAGCCTGGCGCTGGTCCTCGCTCGCTGCGCGACCTTGGGCGAGTCACTGCCCCTCTCCGAGCTTTAGGTTCCCCTTTGAAAGCTCCCTCCGGCGCTAAAACTGCTTCTGCAGAAACCCTTACGCATGTATAAGACTGGCCTGCCGAGGCCGCCGAGCTGAGATGACCCGCAGTTGACTGAACCTTCTTCAAGGATGGGTGAAACACGGCGACCTAATTTTTGGGTCGCTTTTATTTCTTCACCGGTGGTTGCAAATTGCATGACTCCAGGTTCATTCACGCTTGCCTGACATTGTCATGGGATCCTTGACCCAGTTCCCAGCCATCGTTTTAGAAATGCGAGGCAGGGCGCACGGTGAGCTTGAGCGAGCGCGGGTTCTGTCTCGTCGCTACTGAGGCTTTCTTTCCTTTAATCCAGATGGTGTGGTGGCTCGATTTTCCCAGTGCCTGGCTGAGTTTCGGACGTGGTTAAGAACCAACTGGTTGAGGTTCAATGCAGACAAGACGGATGTGATGCTGGTAGGAGGGGCGCCCTTGGCGATGAAGGGAGGGGAAGTGCAGACCCCCTCACGGAATGTGTGGCTCTGCTGAGTTCGCCTTTGGGAACTGCTCCAGGGCCAGTCGTCTCCAGAGCCCGGGTGAGATAAAAATAACAGCAGCGTACGAACTGCAAACATCGTAGTTTGTAACAGACTGTTAAAATTGGCCCACTCGATAAAACTGTGTAGGAATCATGAAAAAAATATTCCTTGAAGAACCGGAAGGCTAGACAAGTGTTTCCGGGCGGTTTTAATAATAAAAGACTATCAAAAAGATGATGGTTATTGTTGCATAAATGTGGGGCTTCCGTATGTACTGCAGTTCTGCTTTTGCACCCTGTATTCTGCCTATGAAAGGTAAACTCGATTTATCTTAAATGTCATTTAAGAAATGAGGCTTTTGTGTTTAGACATTTCAAGGCGAATTTGTAAGTAGCCATTAATTTTTGTCCTCCAATCGTGAACACGTGATGTAGGCTGTCACTTTCAAAGAAAAATTTTAGTAGTTTACAGAACAATCTCAAAAGAGACTCATGGGCCCTGGAAATTATTAGATACGGAACTTGGTTTGAGGGTTTTGGATATATTGTATTCATGTTTCAGGCGAGCAACCTCACAGTCGAAATTGTTGCAAGGGTTTTCTTGTTACATTTTGAGAGGCACCTCCTTGATCGCATATACATATGCTTTGTATAGTGTCAGTATGCATGCATGTGAGTCAGTTCTTGCTACCAAATAAAAGGTTGTGTTTCTTAGGTATATGTGAATGTAAGCAAAGCTTGTTTATTAATTCACTTGTTGAGGTAAAATTGTGACCGTAAGTGCATCTTTTAACAGCAAGACAATACTTGTGAAAGGCTCGTGTGTGAGTATGCATATGCATGCATAGATACCTAATAGCCGCTGAAATACTGCGTAGTAACTTTTGAAAGTAGGAGTCAGGAAGTTGCTTAAAAATAATTTTCCCAACTTAATAGCAGTTGTGAGTAGCTCAATGTGGCAAAAATTAGTACTTGCTAAAAATAAAGAGGCCATTTGTTGGGGGAATAAGATCTAAGGAAGCATTTATTTAGACTTTGTAGTGATATTTTTGTTCTGGGACATAAAATAAACTTCACGTAACATTGGAATCAACCACACTTGAAGCATTTTAGGACACAATTCTACCAGCTACCATTTTGGGTATCCCATTAGTACATACTGCAAAATGTGCTAATTTTAAAAGGTCACAATTAAGGGAGAATTTTGTGATGTCTTTAGCTCTCTTGTGTCCTGTTCTCAGCTCCTCTCATATCACTAGGCTTTAAAGATGTGATTTTAAGCCCAAATTCTTGACTTTGAGTAAAAAGAGGGTATCTGTCGAATTAATCCAAAGTGCTGAAGAACTAGGAATACTGGATGAAAGTAACAAGGAATGGGTTCTGGCTGAATAACAGAAGGACTGGAGCTTTTTTTGAAGAGCCTAGTCCCTCTGTGAGCTACAGTGAGTTGTTGGAGGTTGTTCTGACCGTGCAGAAAGCCCTGAAGTAGAAGCATTAATGAAGGATTCCTACCTGGAATAGAGAACTAAGGACTTTTAAGCACCACCCAACACTAAGAGTCTGTGACTAATGAATACTTAGTTCTTACAGGGTTCATTCTGAAGAAGCCAGAGGTGAAAAACAGTGCTTCCCTTAAGGTGGCCTCCAAAGTTGTTTAAAGCTAAGTACCTCACTAGATAAAATGCGATGGAAGTATACTGAATTCAGGAGTAATGTGTAACCTATGACTTGCAGTATTCAAGCTGTTTCTCTTTACCTTAGAATGATGTCTGGCCCTAAAAACCAACCAAAGTCCAAAGTATTAAAAAGGGAGGAACAATGTCAAGGAAATGTTTTCCCCAGACAATAATGCCACTTCATGTTAACAGTGCCAGGCAGTATTAATAAACTCTGATGTCGTTTAACAGTAAGAATGCCCTTTCAGAAATGCCTCGGACTCAGTTTTCCTGGCTCTCAGGATACATCCACTTGCTTAAGGGATCTTGAGCCCCTGCTTTTTGTCACAGTTGGGTATCTGTTGGCCATTTAACTGAAGAAGCAAAGATTTCATGGACTAAAAGTAATCAAGTTATTCTTGCACCCTGTATTTTAACAACACTTTAGTTTTCCAGCCAGCTAAGTTTCAAACATTGACTTTAATATTTTAGGGCAACATCTACCTTGGTCCCTGCAGTGTAAAACCCAACTGTCCGCGCCTGGCAGGACCTTCGTGGCCACGGCAGGTCCATATACGTGCATTGTTCTTCACCTTCAGCTCTTTTCCTCAAGTGCATGCAACTGTTTGGATATGAACTGGTATTTTTTAGAAGACATTTTATTTCAAGTCCAAAGCATTAACAGGGTAACTCCTAGAAACTGTATACCTATGCTCTTTTACTTACTCGAGGAAGCCTGCAAAAAGAAAACACTTTATATATTTTCTTAAAAATAAACTGAAAATACTGTACGGTACAGTTAATGGTACAATTTGTTTGTAGACTTGGGAACCTTAAAGTTTTCCTTTCTCTTCTTTCCCTTGCTTTTCTTTCAGTAGAAAATGTGCATCAGATGTTTATGTTTAATTGGGTTACAGACTGTCTGGGGACTCTTTTCCTGTCAATTTACCAGGTAATGACCTTTCACTCAGCAGCTACTAAATATACCTATACATGCAGCTTATTCGTACACAAATTATTGGACATAAGAGTGTCCGGCTAATGATGAATCTTTGAAAACAGGAAAATGCTTGGTAGAGTCTATAGAGTTTTAAGGGCATACGAATAATTTAAGAAAGTAGCGCCCTCCATATTGCATTCTAAATATGAATTGAAATATATAAATATATATCCAATTATGCGGTATATTGTAGCACTGGTATCACATTATTTCGTGGGAATGTGTAATTCTCATTTAACTGTCGGATTTTGGTAGTCACTTTTGAAACCACATTTAGAAGAATCCTTTAAGATTTGAAAAAAATGGCCCTTGGAAATCAGATTTATTAATCCTGCCTTGGTAAATTACGTTGGGGCCGATTCCCTCGCGCCTTCAGCGGCCGCGCCGCCTGGGTCGGGAAGTGCGACGCTGTCGCCGCGCAGCCCGGGCCGGCGATCGCGCAGCCGCCGGCAGCCGGCCGCACTCCGCGCGCAGGGTGGGCGGGCAGCTTGTCAGTGTGCGCGTCGCAGAATTTCGCCCAGTCCTGCGAAAATTCGACCGTTGCACGAGCACGCTGCTGCTGGCTTTTCCGGAGCGTGAGAAAGCGGGCAGACCCGGCCCGGCTGGGAGGGCCGCGGCGGGCGCCGCTCGGGCGGGGCGGG